ATCCTAGGTTCCATAGTTATCCGACACCTAACTGGTGCTCGAGAAAACCAGTCAGGTTTCAGACCTGGATGAGGGTGCATCGGTAGTATTTTCTTCTAGGACAGGTTCTCGAAGGCAGGTATATGTACTGGAGCCAATCCCAGCCGTATGTTTACTGGACGGCCGCATTTGAGTCTATCGTACGTGAGATTTTTTTTTGGGATTTATGAGTTTGCATGAAGTAGCGAGCAACTGTAAAACTTCAGTCTATGCTTACTGAAATTCACGCAGCCGTCTTATTGCTGGTGAAGTCTTGTCATCTGAGATGACGACACATAGTGGTGCTCGTCAGGAATTGTGTCTGCCAATCTTCCTGTTTATCTTCATGGTAGACGTACCGATGGAAATAACCTCAGGTACGTCTGAGGTCGCAGAGATTAGTCTCATCCTCAAAAGCTATCCAACTGACTTGGAGTCTGTAGACAATATTGTATTGCTGTGTGAAGACGCTGACAAAATATGGGGTCTTCTAAGCGCGTTGGACAGAAATCGCCATTTGTTTGGCATGCATCTCGCATATATCAAACTTTAACAAGTACTCTAGGACCACTCTGCAGCTGCTTCCATTTTAATGATAGAGTGAATTCGTGGAATATATATAGACTACTTCACTTAATTGCGGAGTTCGATCAGTCTGAGTCGACTCGTTGCTGACGAAATCTTAGCTCGAATTCGGAATGCCGTTCAACATTTGCCAACTTACGTCACCTGTACCATCAACTAGTGAGATATCCGACTATCAATCAAAGGACAAGTGTACTGCACTCCACTCACTCCAATATGTCCTGTTCTATAGGTTGTCAGGCATGATCGTCAAAAGTAGGAGGCATGAAGTGGTTACATGGTTTTGATTATAATTGTCTTCATAGGGTTGCTCGCGTTTTGGTGGGATCTCCATGTGACCAATGTTGAGGTCAAGTGCACAGTATTAGTCAAGACAGACAAGTCGAGTAGTGAGATTGTAAACCTCCTTCACTTACTTAGATGATTTGGACATGTGTTGTACATGCCAAGCCACTGGCTCTCTTTCTCAATATGCCATGCTGGGAGAGATTGTATTTAGTTGGAAGAGGGTTTGGGGCGACCAGAATCACACGTGAAGTCCCTGACTGTTGCTTTGAGCCGTATATGGAGATGTAAACTGCTTGCCTGAGGTCCGTGAGATGATGAGAATCAGAAGTTGAGGACTCTTGGTAACATCGTTAGAAGTCGATCACACTGATGTAGATGTGTGGCAACTTGAACGAATGGACTTATGTACTAGGTTCTACTTTAATTTTCTGTCTATTTGATACTTGACAGGATTAAACAGCTCTAGTTCTCATTTCAATTTACAACTTTAGTTCATTATATTTATGCCTAATATCGTTTCAGAGTGATTAAACCTCTCCATTGAACACCTGTAGTGTCACAGTAATTAGACATAAATGATCTAATCGGTTTATGCACATTTTATACTAACAAGGATTCTTTTGTATACCATCATATTTAAAATTATTCCGGCGAAAACCTCAGCGATAATTAAAATTCTCAGCAAATGCATAGATTCCAATGTTGTGGCAAAATGGAACAGTTTGTATGATAGTGAAGGTTGTAAACTACTAACCATCGCCTTCCTTCCCTCTTCACCTGGAATAATCATGAGTTACACGATTGTGATTAAAGCATTTTAGTCGTTAAGGAAAATGGTATTATCATTATTACTATTATTATATTATTTGTCACTTGGGTTCCTAGTGGAACATAAGGCTTCAGTAGCACGTCTACAATCCACTCTATTCTCTCCAGTCTTCTTTTCAACCTCACTCCACGACTGCCCACAACCTTTCATTTCTTTCTCACATGATCTCCTCCATCTCACCCTCACCTGCAACGCCCAACTTGTCATTTACCCTTCGCCTTCCACTCCACGCCCTCACCTGGAGCGTCATCTCCCCAATCGGCCTTGTCAGTCTATGACCAATACAATACAATCCATCTACACCCTCTTCCACTGCAAATTTATTGGGTGATACCTTCTTGCTTGATTCAATGAACCCAGCCAGCCAGCCAACCACACTTCCTTCTTGCTTATTCTCATTACTCTCACCATCTCATCTCATCTCATCTTCAGTATCCAGTCAGTGTAGACACTTCTTCACGACGCATGTCTGTAGTCTCTTCCAAATGCTTTTCGTCACACGCCAACTTTCTCAACAATCACATACAAGCAAGCACTGACTTCACTCAATTCCTGTTCAAAATCCCCATCGCATCTTCGCCACGCGCCATGCTCAGTACAGTGCAGTGCAGTAGATCTACACACTGATCTCAAATTAATACCAAAGCCTATCTCGCTGTCTTCCCCATCCTCGCTGGCTTTCACATCCTCATCTGTGCCGACTGTGCCGCCTGTGCTTGAAACCATCCTGCTTATGTGGGTAGGTGGGTAGGTGAAAGAGACTACTTCCTTCAGGTTTCTCCAGTTAATCCTGATTGCTGCCTCTTCTTTTTCATGCTCTTGTTGCTTGGGTATCTTCATCACCTCTGTCTCTATCTTCTCTACATTCACTTGAAGGAAGTCCCGTTTTCGTTGACTCTCCTCTCCTCTCCTGTCTTGTCCTGTCAACTTGTTAGTTTTCGCCTGTACATCTTCCACTTTGTGCGACAACACATTAGACATAAATCATCATTCTTGGCGAAATCCAAATCTTCTAGGCTATTTTCGTCAGTCAGACAGCACATCCCCTTACCCTCACCCCCCACCCATCTTCTCACAGCTCCTCACAGTCTCTTGCATGAACCACTCCATACCACTCCACTGCAGTCGAACACAATCACAAACATCATCGGTGATAGTAGGTGGCAGCCTTGTCTAGTCTTACTCCTGTCTTCACTTCACTTCACTTCGAAGGCGTCACTCACCTTTCCATTGGGATCCCTTGGCATGTCGCATCGTCATATCTCTTACCTCTTCAATCAGGTTCATAAACATTTGTGACACTCACTCACTCACTCACTCACTCACTCACTCACTCACTCACTCACTCACTCACTCCGTAGTGTTGGAGCAGCAACTGTCTGCCAAATTACTTCTCAGTCGACGCTGTCCAACGCCTTCTCAAAGTTGATAAAGTTGACGTACAGACTTGACTGACATTCTAAACTCTCTCCTATGATGATGCACAGAGTCGCGTTGCAATTTCATCCTCACATGATTTGTTCTTTCAGAGTCCACCCAGCATGTTCTCGTTGTTGTTTTGAATCCAGCGCATCCTATACTCTCTCCACGATGATGCGGCATAATATTTTGCTTGCATTACGTAAACAGCAACATGATTCCTCAACAGTTCTTGCAAACACTTATGTCTCACCTACCTTCTTTGCCAGTTTCACAAGGTAGACCTTCTTCCAATCAACTGACAGGTACCTCTACCCTCCTTCCAAACCTTTTGCAGTAGTCGTGTGGTGTAGTGTGAGCATATCCGCTCTTGTCTCTGCATCTGTTTTCAATGCTTCTGGTGGAATTCTATCTGGTCCTCCTGCTTTCCCTCATTTCAGCAGCTTTATGCCGTTCACGACTTCTGCTTTTCTCAGAAGGCCTGTGTTCACTGGTAATTCGGTGGCTGGGCTGCTGGTGGTATTTCTGGACGACTTGCAGATGGTGGTGGTGGTGGACGTGGTAGTGGTGGTCGATTCAGGAGTTTTTTGAAGTGGTCGACCCATTGTTTACTTTGTTTCTCCTCGTTGGCAGCTACTACCTTTCCTTCACTATCTTTCATTCGTCTCGTCTGCGTTCATCTCTTCCCTCCCACATAGCAGTAACCTGGTTATTTGATTGATATAATGTTGTCAGGTCACTCACTCACTGTCTCTCCTATCTGCAACCTGTTCTGTTTCACTTACCAGTGTGTCGTAGAAGTGTCTTTTGTCTTTGCGCACACTCTTCTTCACTCCTTTGTCCAGTGGAGTGTAGTGTTTTATACGTTGTACTCAGTTCGTCTTTTCGTTGTGCATCCCTGCATTGCACTGCAGTGCACTGGTTCATCTTCTGCTTCACCATCTTCCTCTCCCTACTCTATCAGCTTCCATGTGTCCGTGGAGATTCATTCTTTGTCTTGCTTTCTTCTTCTTCCTAATACGGTTATGCAGGTTTCTTTCCACATATCTTTGAAAGATGGCAGATTAGATTATTATTGAATCTGACAGCTGAATGTAGTCAAAGACGTTTTAATCATCAGATTGTAATATGATTGATAATGGTGATGAAGATGACGATGTTGAAACGTATCAACCGCTTTGTATCAATAACACAGGTATTTGTTTGTACATAGTATTCTCGAAGAGATTTCCATGTGAATCAGACTCTCACACTGATACTTTTGTATATACAAGTGGTACTGAGAGTGGAGATGATGTTGATCAAGACGACGAATTGACGGGTGATCCATAGACTACAAAAGTTAAAAGCACCACCATCAGCGCTATCAGAAGTCGTTAGAAAGTATTATAAACTTTCTCTGTATTAAAAAGGATTTTATTGTAGAGATTCTACGATCAGTTCTCATCATAAGTGATTAAAATTGACAACGGCATTTCCAATACTCGAATGAAACTCACAGTGACAACCAGGTATGAGAAGACATTCAGTCAGTCACCAATGAAGCTGACCAAAAATAAGATATGCTTATTGATTATATCTTGATTCAGTAGCTATAGAAAGGTAAAAGATTTACTGTAAAGCGTTATAGTTGTTCTTAAGGACATTGAGCAAGAGTTAGAACTACTTGTAGGACTTTAGACATCGTTCATCCATGACCTCTGTTCTATTGATTCTCGTTAGAAGCTTTCTGTCTTCATGTGATTCAAGTTACCAAGTTTTTTCCCCCCATACAAGGCAGCAATATGATAAAGATGATTAGTGATAACGGTAATAAAAATATCATGAATGACAAATTCGTTTTTTTTTTTATCAGACTTACCACTAGGCTGGCCTATTATACTTGTCATGTACTTCTGTGGGGTGTTATCCTTTTTACTCAATAGATTTAATACATTCAAAACAACCGTTGGATTTTGTTGTTGCTCCCATTTCGTTATACCAGCCATTGTTAACAAATGTGACCATTCTGGAGGCATACCCTTTAGAGAAAAGAAACAAATACTCTCGAAAATCTCAAGAAAACTTGTGTAAATGCTCAGAACAAATTAAAACAGATGTCAAAACCCTCTAGCGTTTGAAGCGACCGGTTCCGGGTTCGAGTCCAAGTGGGAAGAAGATCGCTGATTGAGAGCCGGCAAGTACATTCACCTGACGAGTCAGCATTAGGACGAAACGCGCATCAAGTTGGATTCTACTGCTGGCCACTACCCATCAATAATATATAACTGAAATACAAAAAATATCTAGGCATCCACCCAGGAGCTCATGTGCCAATAGAGACCGATCAATTCGATCCACCCAACGACGGGATAATACAAGCAACAACATTTAAACTATCCCCGTCATACAAGAAGTGGCTATCGTGACTTAGTGGTGTAGTGGACAACGCTCTGACGTTTGAAGCGATCGGTCCTGAGTTCTAGTGGAAAAAACATCGCTCACTGGGAGGCAAGCACATCCAGGGGACGAGTCCCAAATACGATGAAACACGCGTCCTCGATTCCACTGTTAACCGCTATCTATCAATAATATAAAAGTTATCATTGGTTGAATAATAATCCAGTAATGGTTCAATCTATAAACCACCTGGTTAGGGAATAAAATCCAGTTTCAAGTACCAAGATGTTGATGGGTAGGTAGCAGTGCTGCTGCAGCCGTCAATGCAGTTACATAGGGTTCATGCTATAGGAAACGGATATACTACATCAAATAGATCTGATTTGTGAAATCTACAGATGACAGAGTTTTCTAACTACTCACATTTTTCAGTAGTATAGTTCTTTAGTTCATGACGCTTTTGTGATGTTAGCTGGTTAATGGTTTCCAACGGAAACCTTGCTGACACCACAGTTGAGAAATTAATCAGTTGGGAGAAATGTGAACCAGACAAAATTGTCCATCATATGGAAATTAATTAACCGTTTATTGTCTTGAAATACTTTCATGTAGCCGTATGTGCATAGCTTCTATGAGAAGAGGTCCCATTCAATTTGTTCACTTAGCCTAAAGATATTACGCAGTTAAACGAAGTCAATAAATACAAACGGTTTCCTTACATTAGTGCTACACGTAGTCTACAGTAATCTAAAATAACCTTGTTCCAGTCATTGACAATCATAGCTAGGCTATTACGCTACATTGTGGTTCTACCAGCTTATAGATGAGACAACATGGTTTAATGGACTAGGAATAATGTCTTCCTAACATAAATAACTGTTTCAGTATTCACACACACGCCTATACAACGTCTCATCAACGTTCCACCTTCATTCTCTTTCGATCGCTCGTAACTAATTGCAAGTATATGATCTGTCTGTGGTCTTTTTAATCACTTAATCAAAAACATTTCCTCATTATAAGGTGTACGAGACATCCTAGACAGATATCCTGAAACTCTGCATATCGATTAAGTCTATCTTCTTCCATATTAGGGTAACTTAATGCTGTTTAGATAACACATACAGTTAGCTAGAAAACCGGAAAGCTTTTTTATTGATATGTACTGCATTCAGTAGGCTCATCACATTTAAAATCACAGGGTGAAATGCTTTGGATTAACAGATGCCTATGTGCTGCAGTCAATCAAGCAAGAAGATCGGCTTAGATTAGAGCGTAACTAACAGCAGAGGACAGATTTCTAGTCATAGTCATGATGGATAATGGGAATGATCTACTGTAGCTCTGAGTAGGCCAAAATATTTTTCTAGCTAGTGTCAACTTTCATTGTATTATTTCTGACATCTTCTCTGTGCTTTTCAAACAGATCATACTGAAAGCGATTAGTTAAGGCGTATGTATGTATTAAGAAATACCCTTCTTTCTAGAGCATCCTGTTGGCACTATGCTCCAACTTCAATGTATGGCTTAGTTCGCATTGAATTTTGATGGTCATCGAAACTATCATTCTGGGCAAATCAACAGGTAAGTAAATATTTCACATCCAGCATTGCAAAAATGAACTAGGTTCCAGACTAGCTATCAAACATTCCAGAAGGCATAGATGAGAAAAGAAATGGCTTTTAACACAACTTAGCTGGTCTACTGGCTCTAGCAAACTCAACTTCAATCACTTACATACACTCCATGGTTGATGAACACTGACCCACTGAACGAAAGAGTTCAAAAAACCTAAAGTGTTGCATGATTACTGAACTTTTCTTTAAAAAGCTTCAACATAAGTGAATAGTTTTTAGGGGATGACATCATTAGATTGCCTTGATGTTTAAACTCTATCTTCCGTTATGTCTCAGACGTGTAGAAAGGTTTAGACTGTCTAGCTAGCTGTCTCCAAGACAAGATAAATCAACGGCTGGAGACTCCTGATGAGATAAATGGAAGTCAATCAAGAATCAACACAGTTGTATTTGCTCCCTGACATCTTTTAAAAAGCTTGGACATTTTCACTAGCAATCTGCATATAATTCAGAACTGAATTCAACAGAAACATAAATGGTCAAACGTCTCTCTATCAATTAAAGAGATCAAAACTTTTGCAGCCAATGGAAGGGATTAGAGAGAGACAAACATTTATGACAAGTATAAGTCATTGTATCATTCAGGTAGTGACTGACACTCGACCAAATCAATAAGTCTAATATAGAATAGCAATCGAACTTCTTAATTGTGTGATAGAATTCCTATGATCATTGCGAACAAAGGAACATTCAGGTAAGAAAACAAACTGACTGACTGACTGACTGACTAACTGACTGACTGACTGACTGACTGACTGACTGACTGACTGACTGACTGACTGACTGACTGACTGACTGACTGACTGACTGACTGACATATATAATCAACGCGGAACCTCGCACACAGGTGCGTCAGCTCAAGTTGATATACTTCACAGTAACAGGTGGAAAGAAAAAGACTGATATCAAAGTAGATAAGGTTCCATGGAACAATAAACAATATGAAGATAAAGGTTAGTGAGAATATTCAAGCTTTAGAAGACGTTAAAGAGTGAATACACCTTCCCCATTCTGACCGACTTCCAGTCATGTCACCAAGAGCCCTCAATCATTGATTCCTTCCATCTCAAGAACCACAACAGAGAGTCTACATCTCCTCACACGAGCCAAACCAACAGTCAGAGGCTTCGTCAAATGACTCCAGGTCTTGTTCTAGCCAACCTGAACCCTCTTTCGACCTAACCTAATTCTCCCCCCCCCCCCGCAGCATGGTATATCGAGAATGGGAATGACTCGGCATGTACAACAGATGTCCAACCCACCTACCACAGCCGATGAAGGTTGACAACTTCATCATCATTCATCAATACCATTAGAATAATGAAGTTGAACAATTAGTTATCAAGTTTGTTTTGCAGGGCTTGTAAATTAATTTTGTTCACTTAAAAAATGTAAAACAAAAAATAAGATGAAAATATAGCTTTAAAGAAAAAATAACTTCATTTTTTTTGTAGATAAAAAAGGTCCATACCTCAAATTCTCCAGTAACCGGATCAATTGTTATGTGTACTTTGTGCATAACATTAACTGGCGCTGAAATATTTGGCATAATAGAGGCTTTGAACTTTGGAAGTCGGCCACCTGTTAAGAAAAGAACAAGATTAATCTTCCATTGTTCATTGGTTTGTTTTTCCTCTTTTCTAAACTGAGAAAACTTACTTTTACATCTCTTTTTTTCACGTTTTTCTTCTTCTAATGGAGTAAGCGGTAATGGTTTGTTTGGTTTAAAAGGGATATTTTCAATGGAACTAAAAAAAATAACAGATTATCAGGTAATTGGACAGTCCTTCTATTTGAACCCACCTTCCAAAGGATGCACTTGTTGTTCTCAGAGGTGGTGCAGGTGTCTTTCCACCACCTGTAGAATCTATATTAGCACAATGAGTGGGATTATTTACCCAGTGCTAAAAACCAATCAAAGAATAAAATAAGGTGAAATATAATATATCAGTCTTTAAAATTAACTGAGAAGAAAACTTGGCTATATGAAAGTATGAGTTACTTTTTCATCTCTTTGCAAACAGATATTCATCTACTGATTGACCTTTTAGTCAGTGAAACTAGTCTACATTTGTAGCTCAAAGTTTGGATGTTTCAATGGAGTTTTTCTTTAGGATATGATTTTGATCGGTAAACTTTCCGATATTGTACTAGACATCAGGTTCGGATCGAAATTCAGGCTCCGTAAGTGAATGATATTCAGTACTCATGAATTAGCAACAAAAAATCATGAATGTATCATCTGAAATTCCAAAACAAACACATCAAACAAGGAAGACGGAGACAGAAAAAGAGTGACATCAAAGTAGATAAAGTTCCATGGGACAATAAACAATATGAAGATGGTTAGTGAGAATATTCAAGCTTTAGAAGACACCTACACCATCCTGACCGACTTCCAGTCATGTCGCCAAGAGCACTCAATCACTGACTACTTTTGTCTCAAGGACCCCAACCAGATAGTCTACATCTCCATATATGGCTCAAAACAACAGTCAGGGACTTCACGTGTGGTTCTGGTCACCCCAAACCCTCTTCCAACTAAATACAATCTCTCCCAGCATGACATATTGAGAAAGAGAGCCAGTGGCTTGGCATGCACAACACATGTCCAAATCATCTAAGTAAGTGAAGGAGGTTCACAATCTCACCACTCGACTTGTCTGTCTTGACTAATACTGTGCACCTGACCTCAACATTGGTCACATGGAGATCCCACCAAAACGCGAGCAACCCTATGAAGACAATTATAATCAAAACCATGTAACCACTTCATGCCTCCTACTTTTGACGATCATGTCTGACAACCTATAGAACAGGACATATTGGAGTGGAGTGGAGTGCAGTATATTCGTCCTTTGATTGATAGTCGGATATCTCACTAGTTGATGGTACAGGTGACGTAAGTTGGCAAATGTTGAACGGGCATTCCGAATTCGAGCTAAGATTTCGTCAGCAACGAGTCGACTCAGACTGATCGAACTCCGTAATTAAGTGAAGTAGTCTATATATATTCCACGAATTCACTCTATCATTAAAATGGAAGCAGCTGCAGAGTGGTCCTAGAGTACTTGTTAACGTTTGATATATGCGAGATGCATGCCAAACAAATGGCGATTTCTGTCCAACGCGCTTAGAAGACCCCATATTTTGTCAGCGTCTTCACACAGCAATACTATATTGTCTACAGACTCCAAGTCAGTTGGATAGCTTCTGAGGATAAGACTAATCTCTGTGACCTCAGACGTACCTGAGGTTATTTCCATCGGTACGTCTACCATGAAGATAAACAGGAAGATTGGCAGACACAATTCCTGACGAGCACCACTATGTGTCGTCATCTCAGATGACAAGACTTCACCAGCAATAAGACGGCTGCGTGAATTTCAGTAAGCATAGACTGAAGTTTTACGGTTGCTCGCTACTTCATGCAAACTCATAAATCCCCAAAAAAATCTCAAGTTCGATAGACTCAAATGCGGCCGTCCAGTAAACATACGGCTGGGATTGGCTTCCAGTACATATACCTGCTTTCGAGAACCTGTCCTAGGAAGAAAATATTACCGATGCACCCTCATCCAGGTCTGAAACCTGACTGGTTTTCTCGAGCACCAGTTAGGTGTCTCATAACTATGGAACCTAGGATCTCGGACACAATATTAGTCAAATTAATTGCCTACTGTTTGTCACAGGAACACCTCTCTCGCATTCCTCACACACTGCAATGATCAGTGAAGTAGAGCAGTCTGATGTAACTACGTCTGATTCCCAAACACTACCTATTCTACCTTCAGCAAATTCCTTCCCCCATACTTGAAAACTTCGGGTGTCAAACTGTTAGGTCCAGCTGCTTTGTATCCTATCAGGTTGGACACAGCTTTTTCAACTTCAAGGAGAGTTGATGGACCGACATTCACATCCCATTCAGGTTCGGACTGAATGTAGGGTAATTAAAGCGTCGCTGAAGTTCAGTTGAACTGTGCTTAGCCTAACACGGTGGAAATCAACGTAACAGGGTTGTCAATCAATCAATCATTATCAACATAGAACAAGGCATTACTGCGTAACAGTCCCAGTTACCACACCTCATATCAGCACATCAAGTAAAAAGGTAGTAAGGTGAAGGATGAAGATAAGTGAATGCAGTCAAAAGAAATATAAAGTATGAGAAGAAAGAAAGGAGGGATGACAAAATGGTGAGACTTGGTATACCGTCGTTAAGATGACGATAATGTGTGTGGAGATACATCTGAGCCACTCACATCGGTTCTCAACCATATCACCTAGAGTCTCCAACCACTGGTTCCTCTTGTCCCGTGGACCCCAACCACCTAGTCTGCATCTCCCCACATGGCTTAAACCAACAGTCAGAGACCTAATACATTCGTGCCATGTTTTAGTCTGGCCACCTCGAGCCTTTTTCCAGCCTGGATCCACCTCAGCCAACATTGTGTGATGAGGCAATCGGTGACTAGGCATACGTAGTACGTGTCCCAACCATCTCAGTCGATGAAGGTTCACAACCTCGTCAACTGACTTACCTCTTCTCCTTAAAACTCTACACCTAACTTCTGCATTACTCACGTGGTGTGTTGACACCACGGAATACGTCCTATATTACGAAGGCAACGGTGGTCAAACACCTGAAGCCTTTTTGTATCCTCCACTTTCAGTGGCCATGTTTCACAGCCATATAGTAGAACAGAGCGGACTGTTGTGCAGTACACGCGACCCTTAATAGACAAACGAATATCACGTCGGCACCATAGGTGGCGTAAATTGGCAAAAGCCAATCGAGCCTTTTGTATCCGTGCAGAGATTTCATCGGCAACTGACCCACCAGGGCAGTGCTGATCCTACTTCCCAGGCAAGTGAAGTGGTCAACAGGGTTGTACTATGTACGATAGTTGCTACCTTGACGTGGTGGTCGGGCTTGCATATCACAATGACCCAACGAGCTATGCTGGTGGAACGCTTGTTCCCTCGAGGTCCTACCATACCAGAAAGGTCTGTTGGGTAGTGGTTAGACGAAAAGCAGTTACCGTTATAGTGTAAATTGCTACACTATGATGGGGGTCTGAGGGCGAAGTCGTACTGCTGCTAGCTGGATGGGGTGTGACAGCAGTAAGGTGTTTCCCTTGGATGACCAGCAGTGCCAAGCTGATGCTGCCTTCTCAGTGGAAGGGGGGGTTAGAAAAGGTCGGCCCCAAAAATAACACACTCCACCACGCCCCACGGTCTGCCGGGCCGGCGGTGTTGGTTCACTTGTCGTTTCCTTTCGACCATCCGGCCCCAAAAATACAAAATTCAAAATAATCATACTCAAAAGGCTGGGTGTGACAGGCCTCAAGCAGATGTCCGATGGGCTCTGCGGTCACACAAATCTCTTTCAGGTACCTTAAGAAGAAATAGCCTTCCACGGTGTGGGCAGCCGGGAAGTGTCAACCGCCCTCACAACTCTGTCAGCACCCAAGTTTCTTCTGACTGCTATCCTCCTCCTCCATCATTACCTTCTAATCTTCCTTCACGTCTCTTAATTAATGATGCTGCATCATCTTCAATTTCTCCTACCTCTGCAGCCTTCGACAACGATCTGAGTCCACAGAACAGCGTCCCTGGTCTCCTTAAACCACGCTCCAAATTACATATTGGAGCCTTCAATGTCCGCACCCTCCGTCAAATTGGCCAACAGGCTTCGTTGGCAAAGACTCTAGCAACTCGGGCATGGATGTGTGCTGTGTTTGTGAGACACGCATACAGGACCCAAGTGTGGTTATTCACCTGACCTCTCCTGACCAATCTGGTGAATCTGCAAAATTCACCCTTCGAGTTTCTGGAGATTCGATAGCTAGCTCTCGTGGTCTTGCAGGTGTAGGTATAGCATTAAGCACCAGGGCAGAAAACTCACTACTAGACTGGATCCCAGTTGATAGTCGCCTCTGCGCTATGAGGCTGAACGGCACAGTGAGAACTAAAAGGAATAGTGAGACTCGCCGTTGTCTCTTTGTAATCTCTGCTTACGCACCCACTGACTGTAGTTCGGATGAAGTGAAGGACGAGTTCTACCATAAACTGTCTAACCTCCTCTCGAAAGCCAAACGTTCGGACGTAGTGGTTGTTGCAGGTGACCTCAACGCACAGGTGGGTAGACTGAGTGAGGCAGAAAGGCACTTAGGTGGCACTTTCGGAATCCCAGCTGAACGTACAGATAACGGTGATCGCCTATTACAACTATGCTCAGATAACCGCCTATTTTTAGCCAGCACAAATTTCAGACATAAAGAAAGGCACTGTCTGACCTGGCGTCCACCGAGCTCGACTCAGCGATGGACACAGATAGACCACATTGCTATTAGTCATCGCTGGAGAGGATCGGTGGAAGACTGCCGCTCCTTCTGGAGTACGTGTTTGGACAGCGATCATGCGTTGGTCCGAGCACGTATATGCCTGCGTCTCAATGGACGTAGAAAAAATTTGGCAACAAAACCACTACGAGTTCTGCTGGACAACGAAAACACCAAAGCCGTGTTCAGTGAGAAGTTGGCTAGGCAGTTATCGGAACAAAAGACTGTCACTCATCCAGAAGAAGCTTGGTGCCATCTTCAGTCTACTGTAAAAGCAGCACTGGAGACTGTAGCCGACTCCAAGATAATGGCTAAAAAGAGCCAGTGGATATCAGCAGCTTCTTCCAAACTAATGGATGCACGTGAATGCATCCCTGCAGGCTCTGAGTACAATGAAGAGCGAGCGCAACTTAAAAATAACTGACGAAAAGTCTGCGCAACGATCGTGAACAGTGGTGGGCAGCAAAGGCTAAAGAGATGGAAAAGGCAGCGGCGATCGGTAACAGTAGACAGTTATTTAGACTTATTAAGGAGACTGGGGGGAAATGGTCAACAACAGT